AATATTCAGGGTTGTCATTGTTTACCAGATTGTACTGGTAATCAGATTACTTTAGCCAAAGTGGGCTCACAATGCTGGGTAACTCTCCTAGTTGATGTCACTACATGTCCTTATCTCTCTGCACTATTTCAGGCAGGCTAGAATTTTAACAATTCCTTTTTTCATTTTCTATAGTTCTATCACTTCCATGCCCTCTCTTATTACACAAATAAAAGATAAATTATTCAGAATTGGTCCATTTGCCTTTCCTTTCTTCCTACCTTTGTTCCCTCTCTCCCTCCTTTTCCCTTTAATAAACATTTATTTTATGTCATATATTACATTATATCTTGGTAACTCAAAAGACAAATATGAAAATAGTATTTTCAGGAAGTTTATAGTCTGGTAAGAAAGACACACACACAAACCAATGGTTACAAAATAATATGCTCAGTGCTGCTATGGAGTATGTTCAAGAAGTGATAGAAACAGAGAAGAGAGAGTACCTAACTACTCCTAGTTAAGATGACTTTGCAGTGGAGGTAACACCTGAACAGACAAAGACAGGGAAGGGAAGTATTGTGAGTAAGCCAACATTCCTTCATTTATTCAATGATTTCAGCCTCTACTATGTGTAAAACTAGGGACAGAGCAATGAATAAGAAACAGTGTGCCTGTCTTCGTGGGGCTTACATGATAGCAGGACCCACACGGCTGATAACTGGCTACATAATCAATTATTTAATTGCAACTGTGACAGATTCTACAAAAAGCTCCAAGGTGCTAAGAGAACCTGAAGGGAACTAACTGAAAGGTAGACAGAAGGGTGGTCAGGGAAGGCTTCTCTGAAAAAGGTGTGTTTAAAATGGAATCTGAAGGTTCAGTAAGAATTCACTAGAGGAAGGCGAAGTGAAGAGCCTTCTAGAGAGAAGAGGCAGCAAAAGCAGACGCTTTAGCGTGAAGAATGGAAAGGACAGGAGCAGCAGTCCATGTAAGAGAGCTTGGTGATTTGGACTAAGGTGGGTGTGTAGAAACAGAGAGAAGTAGGTAGGTAACTGATCGCACATGGGAGAGGGCAAGAAAGTGAGAACTTTCGAGGACAATCCAGATTTTTGGCTTAGGCAACTAGGTACTAGGTGAATGGTTCACCGACCAAGGCTCATGGGAAGATCATGAATTCAGTTTTGGACATGTTGAGTTTGAAAAGCCAGTGAAATATTCTAGCTGCAAAGTTAAGGAAACAAGTGGGCTCCTCAGTAATGGCTGGATTAGAGCCCCATTCCTATAGTTTTCATCGTGAGACATAAACTTAAAACCTGGATGAATATTAAGGCCTACTTTCATTCTAATGTCAAATCTATTAATGTAACTGTTATCCACTTCAAATTCAAGTACTTTCTGAATCTATAAAAAGTATACACAGCTCTTTTTCCTTTGAATGTTGCAAGATGGGCACCTGAATAGGTTTTTTTCAGTCAACCCTTTACTTTTTTTTACTCTTTGCTTAACATTCCACCCTATCCTTCTTTGTCATCAAAGTAAACAGTAAATTGTAAACTTAGAGCTTTACAGATTATAAAGAGCTTTACAACAGTTATGACATTTAGTTACTTAAAATATCATATATCAGATGTTTCACTTAGTACTTCATAACTCGCTTAAAAATGCATTGACCATATTTTCTTCCTAATATTCCCTAGGTTCACTACATTCTTGAGGATAAGATCTACTGACCAGAATATTATATAAATAGCCATGGATGCCAATTTGCAGGTTACCTCAAAGAGATCTTTAATGGGGGAGAGGGAGGCAGGGGAACTTCAGCTCCATTTGCATTGCTTTGTTTCATTTAAAAGAAGTACAGGAGCGCCTGGGTGGCTCAGTTACTTAAGTGTCCAACTCTTGGTTTCGGCTCAGGTCATGATCTCACGGTTCCTGAGTTTGAGTCCCACATTGGGCTCTGTGCTGATAGTGCAAAGTCTGCTTGGGATTCTCTCCCTCTCTTTCTGTCCCTCCCTCAGTCACTCTGTCTCTCAAAAATAAATAAACTTAAAAAAGAGAGAAAAGTACAGATCTGAAGCAAATTTGTCAATGTGGACATATGTGTTAGTTCTGGGGATATGACTGTTGTATTGTTCTGTTTAATGATACACCACCCCTCCTTTTTTTTGTGAAAATCTCTGAATCAGGTACTAAAAGAGACATAAAAGCAATTAATTTAGAAATAATTTCACCTGTTATTTATATTTATTTTCTATTATATTTGCATGGCACTCATACACATGGAATTTTTTTTTTTATTTAACAAAGTTCATTGCTTTGGAATATTTAATTTCTGTGTGAAATTAATGATCCTTCCTCAATCCATCACTGTTGCTTGTTAAAGAAATGACTGATATTGCAGAAGGTGATGACTCACTAGAGTGGGATTTTGCTAAAGGCAAGAAGAAAGTTTTATATCCCTAGGTAGGAATAAATTATAACTTCATACAATTGCACTTACTAATAAATCAGGAAATTAAGGGCAGTAAATCTATGACCCAAATGCAGACTAGTTTAATGGAATGCTTTTCAGAGATTTTCAAGGAATGCTAGCAAATCCTTTTAGATTTGCAGCAAAACCCAAAATGTTGTGTGGTGCTTAACCATCAAAATACAAGCCTATGTGTTTATTCTTCGTAAGAAACTTTGGTTGCTTACATAAAAAATCTCAGAGGCAAGGGTAAAGAAAATATCAAAGACAGATTAAGGAAGCTGATCACTCTCTTAGAGATGAATGTTTTACAAACTGAGGCTAAAGCTATCATGGATATCTCACTATTAATGCATTCAAATGATTAACAGAAGAAAATATACCAAGTGTGGCATTTTGTTCCAAACAACTACGGATTCATATTGTAATAAGCACCTAGTTTTGGACACCATTCTAATTTATCACAGATTATACTTTGAAATACCTAAGAAGTCAAGTGTTGTGATCTATTTACATTCTTATCTAGGTTTCTATTACTTCATTTAGGCACTCTTTTCTTTAATACTTTCCTATTAATTTGCTGGCAGAGCAGCTGATTAAGTTATTTTTTGTCACTGTTATTTGTTGACTGTTTTAGTCAGAGGCTTGCCTGTGCTCCTCCAGTGTCATAAATATAACAAAGAGTTGTGTTCTACATAATATCTGTTGTGCTGTCTTTACCAAAGATGAGGCTAGGCCCCACAGTATTAATTTCCAGAAAAATGGTATCTCTGGTTATTTTGGTATTGGCTAACAGTTTAGAGAAACAACTACACTGTGTTCTATGAAGAATCAATGTCAAAATGCCAGTGCCTCAGGCATTTATACTTAGAAAAAGTACCATGCTACTCCCTCCTTACAGCAAACTCAGACTGGAATGAAGTTACTGTGATACAGAAATACCACAAAAGGTCCAATGTGACCCATGCCATTTTGGCGCAGGTCAAAACTAAGTCACATCATTTTTCTTTGGGGGAGGCAGTAAGATGGGAAAAAAGTAAGCTAGAGAGTAAAAATGATCTGGATTTAGCCCTCTGAGACCCCCTGCAAAACTTTGGCTAAATCATCTCTGTAAAATAATGATTAAGAACCCTCACTGGACGCATGTAAGCATGTATGTGAAAGTAACATACATGAGCTATCTAGCAGGTATCTACTATATATTAATTTCCTTCCCTTATAGTACCATATCAGAGTGGGATCTTTTGACTCTATCTTTAAAATACTCAAAAAGAACTACACCTATCAGTGTCTCAGTCCACTGTTAATTATTTCTGTGCCTATTAGGCCTGATCTCTGATTTGCTCACTTTGGGGCACCCTGATTTTTATAATCACAGAGTTCTATTCATGGAAGCCCAAAATATTACCCAGGTTTCCAATCAGGGCCCTTCCTAAATGATCTGAAAACTATGACTCTAAGAATCTTTAAAGGGACTTGTAACTACCACTGGTAACTCATTGCATTAATTCAAATTCCTTAAAAAAATTCCTACTAATGCCTAAATGATGAAGTTACTTTCCCTCTTTACTTTGTGATTATGTTAAATTACAGGCCCATCATAAAACAGTCCTTGAAATATCAAAAGTGTAATCATGTTCCTTCTATCAGGCTCCTCTCCAGGCAAACCAAGAAATATTATTGTTTATCAGAGCATCTATGTATTAATTAATACAAATCCACAAACAGCTTAATAGTAGGAAAATAAAACAGGCTTTGAGGGACATGTGCACCCCAATGTGTACAGCAGCATTATGTACAATAGCTAAATTATGGGAACAGTCCAAGTGTTCATCGACTGATGGATAAAGAAGAGGGTGGTATGTAAATACAATGGAATATTACTCACTCATAAAAAAGAATGAGATATTGCCATTTGCAACAACATGGATAGAGCTACACAGTATTGTGCTAAGTGAAATAAATCAGTCAAAGACAAATACCATATGATTTCTATTCATATGTGGAATTTACGAAACAAATGAGCAAAGGGGGAGAGAGGGAGAGAGAGAGGAAGACAGAGACAGAGACAGAGACAGAGAGACAAACCAAGAAACAGACTCTTCACTACAGAGAACAAACTAATGGTTACCAGAAGGGAGGTGGCTGGGGGGATGGGTAAAATAGGTGATGGGGATAAAGGAGTTCACTTGTGATGAGCACCAGGTGATATATGGCAGTGTTGAATCACTATATTGTACACTTGAAACTAATATTATACTGTATGTTAACTAACTGGAATTTACATAAAAACTTAAAAAAAAAAAAGAAAATGAGCTTTGAGAGTCTGTTGTACACTCTTATTTGCTGTAGGGACTCTATGCAAGTTACTTAACTTTTTTGAGTTTCATTTTCCACGTCTATAAAATGAGGAAAATATTATGTGTCTTATATAGAATTGTTTATTTAAAACATTAAATGAAATAATGTTGACATTCAAAATACAGTCACTATTGTCATCTTAATAAAATAATATAAAGCTAAAGGTAAAAAAAAACAAACTACATACCATGTTCACTGCATCTTGATCGAAAGGATTCCATTCTATATTCTCAGGATAGTGGGCCAGAACTTTGGATTTGAATGTTCTTCTCAAAGGACTCTGGTCAAAATTTTCACCTACAACAAATAATTAATAATTAGTTATATCTAGAATTTTTTCAGAAGCATGCCAAAATTTTATTTTTACTTTGCAGATGTATTAACAGATGATGTTGAAATCTGATTCAATTTCTACCTCTAACAGACTGAGTGGTAAAATTCTCAATGGATGACTGAAAAGGAACTGTTAATAAAAAGATCTGCATTTAAAACTTCAGAATCTGGGGGCGCCTGGCTGGCTCAGTCGGTTGAGCATCCAACTTGAGCTCACATAATTACCTCACCAACCGTGAGTTTGAGGCCCACGTCAGGCTCTGTGCTGACAGCTCAGAGCCTGGAGCCTGCTTCGGATTCTGTGTCTCCCTCTCTCTCTGCCCCTTCCCTGCTTGTGCTGTCTCTCTCTCTCTCTCTCTCTCTCTCTCTCTCTCTCTCTCTTAAAAATAAAATAAAAACATAAAATAATTTTTTTTTAAACTTCAGAATCTGAATTTCAATATCCTGGCTAGACAACGGTACTAAAAATCAAGATCTACTACAAATAAACTTTGCTGTAACCTAATTATTGTTCTTATTTCAATATGTGGTGATAACAAAAAAGTCTATTTAGGAACATTTAATTTACTAAAGAAACATCTTGAATTAAGCTAATCATACTTCTTCTGATCCTGAAATTTTATACACGAATAGACACAATGCTGCAGTGCTCAAAGGAGGCAATTTTGCTTCAGCTTCCACAGAAATCCCCAACAAATGTGACTGCATCCAGGCTTTTATAAGTAACAGAATTAACAGAATTAGAAACATCATCACTGAGTTGTCTAGTTCAGTAGACAGAACATATTAAACACACTAACCTCTGAAAAGAAACAAGCTATTCTAAGCCAAATTCATTACCTGTCAAAATTCTGGAAAGATAAAGGCAGGCTATACTTTGATTATTACATATGTATATATAAAAAACAAAACTCAATAATGAGTTGTCAAGCTCAGTTCTTTCTCTCCTTGACAAAATTATTTCCCATAAGACCTGTTTCCCCCAAACACCTTAGTTCCATAAAATAAATTAATGTGGATGGCTCTTAAATTCTCAATGTCAAAAAGTTGAGACTGGAGAATTAGAAGACCTTAGAGTATCATTCTGTCTTCTGTGTTTTTTCTAAAGTTCTAATTAAATGCAAAACATGAAGTACCAGTATTTGTACAAGTAAAAATACAAGTAATTTATAAATCATAATGGGGCATCTAGGTAGACTCAGTTTCCATTGTGGGTAAAAATTATGAAAAGATGGATAGTAAAACACTTTTTAGTGCAAAACTTAACAGATCACAGAAGGAGGGAAAAGTCACACTCTCAAATCTTGCTGGAAACTGATATAAAATACACAGCTTTTCTGAAAAAAGGAACATAGTTTAAATAGATTTGGTGCAGCAACTAGCCTACTGTTTCCAATATGAGCCCTTGGCTAATGATCATTTTCCTCTGTATTCCTCTTATTTAGGCAAACACTTCATCTCTCTTTCGACTCCGTATTTCCGCCTTCTAAATGATAGAATAGAGAACTTTCACTTCTAGAAGGAAAACTGTCAAAAGTGTCCTTAGGGACAGTTTATTAGTTTTTGCAACATACTTCTGGAATATGTAAGGATCAACAAAGTCAATGGAAAAATGTGGAACTGTCCATGAGTCAGTATGCCTGAAGAGTCAGGGTTCAGAATGCCCAATTTCAGGAAGGGTATATGATATCTTTAAACTGATTCTAGATTCTCATGAAAACACTAAAAATTTTTAGATATTTCACTTCTACATTTATTAAAAAAAAAAAAAAGACTACTTTTCACTTCACTTTAAGTCACAGAAAACACAAAACAAAAATTCCCTCTTGATTCTAAAGTCTATGCTGCTGACTTTGCTTACTGACACAGGAACAGGATATCCTCAGATAATACACAACCAAGAAAGCCTCTCTCCTATACCCACTAAAACATACCAGAAATGTGTATTTTTATCATAAGTATAAATAAAATATGAAACACTGTGGAGGCAAAAGAAACAGCACATAATGCAAGATGCAATTCCTTGCAACACTTACCTTTTAATGAATTCCTGCCTAAGTTGGTTAAAATAGTAACATTATCTTCATTCATATATCAAGTTATTAATGGGACAGAAAATAAATCAGAAAAGTCATGACAGTGCTATTTTCAATATGATTGTTCTCTTAACTAAGGAACACCACCTCTTGAAGCACAATGAATCACCCAGAAGAGAGATAAAGAAGGAAAACCCTTTTTCAGAGAAAAAAATTTCACAAAAACAGAAGATGAAAAAACTCACGAAACAGAAACATAAATCTAATCAAAGCAAAACAGAACCACCACCATTGCCACCACCACCGTCACTTATTAGACTGCCAAAAAGGGGAGCAATAGGAAAGATCACTGCTGTATATACAGCTGTCTTGGCAAATATTACTTTGAAGTAAATTAAGGGAAGGACCAACTATGTAGAAATTCTGATAACATATTAAGGGTTTAGAAATGAGTATATGTAGCTATTACTACTCCTACCAGCCAAAGAAGAGAATCTCGAAGATGCCTTTTGGAGATGAGAGGTAGGGGAACAACCTATTCTTCTCATTTTGAATCCATGTTATATGAACCCCTAACTTGGAATTTACTGCTAGAACTTGGCAGAAGAAATGAATCTGTCTATGAATTTGGGTTCCCAGGCAACTGAATTTATATATAAGCATCCTTAACTTAAAATCCACCTTTTAAACATTGTCCTGAAATGAACAAGGATTTTAAATTTGTGCAGATATTAATATGCCCACTACAAATACATATAAACTTAATTCCAAGTCATATTGCCAAGTATCCTGCTACTAAATTTAAGCTGCAATTAAGCCTTTTCTCCCAAGAAAACAAGACATATCTGCCAAGAGAGCTTAAAGACTAGTGAATAATTTTTTCAAGGCTTGAAGCAAATGAGGTCTTTCCAAAAATTAAGATGCAGACAAGAGAACAGAAATACAAAATAATACCTATGTTTTTGCCCAAGCAAAACCAAATAAAAAAACAATTATGATGGGCTTGAGGTGAATTAAAATAATTTCTAACATCTCAACTTTTATTTTTACTTTTATTTTTATTTTTACCTGAAGTCGTATTTGCAGCATCTTGGCTCTTGCCATGACGATCTGCTTCTAGCCATTGGTACAAAACTACATAATGTAACAGAAACAAAAAACTTTATAAACAAAGAAACACAAACACAAAAACAAAATGACTTTGAAGAATGGAAAATGAGAATAAAAAATTAAACAAAAGCAATTAAACATGAGACTTTAACATCAATGGAATGTAGCTTAACACCAACAGCATGTGGTTTATAAGCTATTAGTAATAAGAAAGCAAAGAGAACAGGTAATTGTATCAACATAATAAGTGAAATACTATTTAAACATCTGTAACAGTTATTCATATGGGAAAAAAGCACATATATTCCTCCTGATGCTGATTTAAAGAGAAGTATTAGGAGAAAACTAATGTTTCCATAGTCAGATATAAAAAAATATGATAGACGAAATGACCGACTTTAAAAATTACATCCCAACTTCTGTGTACCTATCAGAATGGCTAAAGTCGAAAAAACTGCACCAAATGCTGACAAATATGTAAAGTGACAGGAATTCTCATTCCTGGTGGGAATGCAAAATGGTACAACCACTTTGGAAGACAGTTTTGCAATTTCGTACAAGACTAAGCAGTCTTACCATATGATCCCATTGCTCCTAATACCAAGAGGAGCAGCCTACAGTATACCTGATGAATACTTGTCACAACTATCAAGGACATTAAAAACAAGGAAAGTCTGAGAAACAGTCATAGTCAAGAGGAGCTTAAGGAGATATGATAACGGAATATAATGTGGTACATTGGATGAGATGCCCCAAGAGAAAAAAGTACACTAAGTAAACACTAAGGAGATCTGACATATATAGAATATAATGGGCTGAAAGTATGCTCTGTAATGAGATTCCATTTAATCAACAATCCCTTTATGTGCTATTAACTAGGAAGTGTCAACTCTTGAAGGAAAGTTTACTACAGTAACGACACAGGCTATTAGAAAATTCACACTAGACCTCTCTAACCTAGCAGCTTTGAAGAGTGTTAAAACTTCTGAATGGGTTACCCAGATATCTACAACTTTTAGACATTCAGTCTTCCCTTTGAAGAGCTAAATAATGACAACGTAGGGTCCTAAAGGCCAGGGAACCTTCCTATCCATACCTCAAAAGTCTGAATTATCTCAAGGCAATTACAAAGGCTAAACTTCTAATCTCGGGGGCTATTTGACCACAGATATCGTGAGAGTTTTATATCCTCATCAAGATTTGCCGAAACTTTGTACACTCTCCTTTCGCAAAACAGCAACAAAACAAAGAGCTGGTGAAGGTGCCCATGGAACTCGTGAACTGAAGATAAAGGAACTGATCCATTACAAAGGCCAAAGACACCCTGAAATCACCAAGGAAGTTATTTGGATCTTTCCAGACAGTCAGATGCTGAACTGACATTTGTCATCAGGAATATATGGCCCCTAACGGACCTCTGAATAGCCCTCACACATATACCCAGTGTGCAAGGTCACTGGCTGAGGGTGCCCCAGTGGGCACACAAGTCAGTGCACTCCTCCAGGATATCGCATACTCCTGGGAGGCAAACAATTGTTATGACTGGGACCAGCAAGGAAGAATTTGAGAAGCAGACCTCACTCATTAAATATATACCTATTTTTTTTTTTTGCCTTTGTAGTTTACAGGAATAACTACTCATTAGAGTAAAGAAGTAGCAGAGTAGAGAAGTATTAGACCATGACAGAAAAATCTCTGCCTTTGTCTCTCAAAAATAAATAAACATTAAAAAAAAATCTCATTTGGAAAAAAAAACAAATATGGACTTTACAACTGACAATATCACTCTCACAAAAATGAGATGCAAAGTGGGGAAACTAATCCATTCACTAGTCTAACAATTCTGCCTAGCTCTCGTCTAAAGGCTATTATGCCCCGATCAAGGTAGAAACTCTTGGCTGCATTGAGGGTATCGTTAGGAATATTAACCAGTAGTTCAATTACTTCATATAGACCCTGTTTCTGGTTTTACCAAAGAAAAAAAGAAAAAATATAAAAAGTATTCCAGATCCACTTACACAGAGAATTATACATAAGCAAAAATCTTTTTAGATTCAGATATTCAATTATTTTATCCTTGCCTCCAGATTGCCAAAGTCCGATTATCCATGGTCTAAATATTTCCTCTAGAGAATTTCCAGGGAAATAAGTGCATCTGCTTCATGCAAAGCTACAATGTGACTCACCATTACATCAAATTTGGATTTCAAAGCTCACTTTATAACACATATATTTTAAAAGATAATGTAATAACTAAAAAAAGAAATATGACAAATATTTTTACCTAACATACTAGAATGTAAATGGGTAGTTCTAGAAGGACTGAGCTCCAAAAAATTCTTAACTCTCATAAAGCATCTGAAATATGTTACAATACACAGTCTGCTACTATGTTTGTAGATGATGTTAGAATACCAAGAATAACCTTTTTTCACTGTGGCTGGAAGCATAAGATCTGACTTTTTGGTGGCTCCATGCTTCCTCTCATTTGGCACCGAGAGTAGGTACCCATAGCTCTGAGCCAGTGGTGAGAGATTTCTATAGCCTGTGCATGGGGTTGCAAGTGGAGAAGGATTTGTGAGATGTGTGAGCACTGGAGCTATTTCTCGGCCTGAGTGGTCCCGTTAACCCCTTTCTCTGAACCTTCCCACTCTTTCACTCTTCCCGGTGAATCCCCTCCCTCATTATCCATTTCCACCATAGCCTGTGTCTGACCACAGCATTTTCTCTACAAAACAAGGACAAGCCTCACAGTATTTCCCCATCCTTCTGTCCCCAAAGAATACCACAGAAGTCTAGGTGTTTTAAAAAAAAGCTTGCTGATAGGAACAATGACAACAGATGGGAAGTTAAAAGGTAATCTCTTTTGTCCTGTCCCTTTTCAATTTTATTCCCTTTCCCTCCAAAGGGAAAGTTTAAAAACACACACAGAGATACACATAGGTAATAAATGGTTGACAGAATATTTAGGGTCAAGAAAATTTTCCTATTATTTTGCTAAAGGTGATAGGAGGAAGTGGGATGCTGCCTAAGAAATCCATGCTGAGGCAGAGAAGGGAGAATGTGGTGGTGAGGTAATTTTTCTCCTTCCCATGTCTGTCCTTATAGGTTCCCAACTGTTTGTCTCTAAAAAGCCCTGCCTGAATTGACATGAGTTGGAGTTGGAGAGGGAATACTGGACAGCAGTAGATCCTACAAGGGAGACTGACTAGGGAAAGGGAAGCAGGGGCAGGGCAACTTTACACGTTGGTTAAAAAAAAAAAAAAAAAAAAAAAAAAAAAAGGAAAAAAAAGGAGCACTCCTCTGACATTCACAGAAAGCCATTTCCTATACATGCATTTTCTCTTCATCACATGTAATTGTCCTCTTCAAAACAGTTCCCCCAGGAGGCTGCATATTCATTATTCATTCTAATGGTTCTACCACAATTTAAATAATTTTTGAGCAGGTGACACTTAAGGTGAGACCTGATGAAGTAATAATAATCATCATAGTTAACATGTAGTGCTTACTATAGGGCAGGTGTTATTCTAAGTGTTCTACATACATTAAAGCATTTCATCATCACAATTACTCTATAAGGTAGCTCCTATTTTACCATTTTACAGATGTAGGACCTGAGGCACAAAAAAGGTTAAATAACTTGTCCAAGGTCAGACAACTAGAAAATTCAAACTTACACAGTCTGGCTCTAGACTGTGCTTTCAATTCTACATGTGAGGTCATCTCAGAAAAGAATATTTCAGGCAGGGGAAACAGCAAGTTCAGAATCCCTGAGGTGTCAGTGAGCTTGTCATGGCTGAGATGCAGCAAGGAGGACAGTGCAATGCATTTGAGTGAGCTGGTAGAAGATGAAGTCAGAGAGGTAGCCAGGGCCAGATAAGACAGGGCCTCACAAGCCTTGGTAGGATCTTTCTATCTTGTGTTAAGCATCACGGGAAGTAACTGTGGAGTGTTTTAAACAGAGAAATGACTTTGTTTTAACAAGCTCACCCTGGCAGCTCTGAGAAGAGACTGTGGAGGGTTAAGAGTAGAAACGAAGATACCAGGTGATTAGGAAACATGTTTTGAGGACATAAAAGATATGATTTGCTGACAAGTTAGATGTGAGAGAAAGGAGTAGTCAAGAAGATATCACAATGCCACAGTTTCTGGTCTGAGTACCTGGATGAATAGGATAGCTATTTACTGAAATGGGGAATAATGTAGAAGGAGAGGGTCTTACTGAAGGGTTGGAAGGCTGGAATAAAGAATTCAGTTTGGGATATATTAAGTCTATGATGCCTCTTAGTTATCCAAATGAAATTTTTCAGTCAGCATTTAGAAATCAGAATTTAAAATTCAGGGAAAAGTTAGAAAATTCAGTATCAAATAGATGGTATTGGACATCACAGGGCTGGATAAGATCACTGAGGAAATGAATATAAATGAAGAGAGGCTGGGGTCACAGCCCTGGGACGCTCAAGAATAAACGTTAAGAGGTTAGGAAGAGAATGGGGAACTGGCAAAAAGGTAAATGAAAAATGCAGCCAGTGACGAAACAGAAAGACCAGAAGCATGGATATCACAGAAGCCAAGTAAAGACAATGTTTTAACAAGGAGAGAGTTGACAGCATGGAAATCACTGGTGACCTTGAGGAGATTTCTGTGGAGTAGTGGGAGTAAAAAGTTGTGTGGAGTTGTTCCAAGAAACAATGCAAAGAGAGGAAGCAGAGGCAGAGAGTATAAATAAGCCTTCTGGAGAGTTTTCCTGGAAAGATGAGAAATGGAAAATACTGAAGGAGAACAAGGGAGGGAAAGGGTTTTGTTTGTTTAAGGACAAAGAGGTATTAACTCATTCAAGTAACATATCCAGAATGCCTACACTGAGCCAGGCACAGTGACCGATGCTGCGTACAGGACTGATTAGTACAGTCCAGTCCTCTGGAGATCTCTCATTCTCCTATCTTGCCTTCCCAATGCCACAACAGAGAGCAGACTTTGCCCATTCCATATGCTATTATGGGGCTGATGCAGGTTGTACT